GGAGAACCGTTCTGCATTCCAAAGCCATCAGAAAATCCCTGCTAGATCGATGAATGGTGCGTAGAAAACAGAAGTGTACAGGTAATTCAACCTACTTAAGAATTTCAGTAGGTAGCTATAATACATAATAACCCAAAAAGACCGCTAGAGACAACCTCACCGAAAAAAAAATATTTACGGCCATTAGAACCAACTTTGGAAATGATTTGTTCAGCCACCTCTATACCCGCCTGGGCAGGATTCTTTGACAACCAGCTAAACCCATTGATCAGAGCGACATGGCAGTGTGTTTGAGGCCCGTGAAATATTATAACGGCGCGCAATTGAAGCAGGGAGTGACTCCCCAAAAAAGGGGCTTCTTGGAGCGAGGGATTAAGGTGATTGTTTTTGCTACCCTTCAGGTGCAAACGATACGGAGCAGGCAGAAGAAGTGGGAATATTGCCCTCTCAGCCTCCGGAGTGAAACTGTTATATTATAAGCCCCTATGTTCTCCCCGTTTTCCCTGATACAGTTTTATTAGTAATAGTACTGAAAATTCGATTCCCAGGTGGTGTATTATAAGCCTGAAGTTTCGGGTAGTTGTCTCGTCTAGCCTCCTCGTTCACCCTTTTTGTCACCGTGCTGCCTGTGCTGTTTTTGCCCTCATGTGCGTTCGTTCCGTTCTCTCCTGTCGCGCCCCTATTTGTTTCTGGTATAAACACGTTGGTTACGTTGCTCACTGATGGCCCCGGTTGTTTCATGCTGTGCCTGTCCCTGGATAAGGAGGTTCTTAAAACAACATAGGGGACCGGTATATGTATGTGACGGTTTAATGAACTGTCGGTCGACATCCAGGCTTCTTTAATTTTCCTCGATGTGTGATCATCACTTCGGTCCACAATTTCGACCACGTCAAATTTGAAATCATGCCCCATCTCTGCAGCATAGGCTGCTATCTCCAATTTTGGGTCCAACCGTCTTGGCGCCAGCTGATGATCATGCATTCGCGTTTTTAGCTGCCGGCCGATTTCCCCGACATAAGTGCAGATCCCGCAGCTGCACTGAAGTCGGCAGACGACGCCTGACTTCTCCTGTTTAGGTACAGGGTCTTTCGGCCGCATTACTTGTTGCCGGATTGTGCAGGTAGGCTTATGGGCAACCCCTATTTCGAGAAACGCGAGGGATCCAGCCACAATTTCAGTGAATCCTTTCGCGTACGGAATATTCCGCTACGACTTTGATGGGCAAGGTTCCTCGGTCCGCGTTTTTGGTGGCATTCGCGTCAGTTCAACAAACGTTCTTGGATAGCCGTTTCCTTTGAAAAGTTCCCGGAGGAGCTTTGTCTTGTCCTGTTTGATAGCTGGCGTTCTGCAGTGGGTCTATACCCGTCGGTATAGCGTGCGTATACAAATTCGCTTGTGTTTCAGCGGGTGATTGCTATTGTACTGCAATATTTTCGATATGTTCGTTGGTTTCCGGTAGACAAACGTCGTCAATTTACCGTCCAGTTGGCGGCATACGAGAACGTATAGGAACGGAAGTCTGTCCTCCACCTCTTCTTCCATCGTAAATTGTAGGTCGGGAAAAATTGAGTTTAATCGTTCCTTGCCGTGGTTCATTTTACTTTGGTTCATGATAACGAAAGTGTCGTCAACGTAGCTTGCCCAACATTTCGGCTCGTACTCTTCAAAGAACCTTCTCGCTAGTTTTTGCAGTACAACCTCAGCAATGAGTCCAGCGATTAGGGACCCCATTGTAGTGTCTTTGATTTGCTCATATGTGGTCCTTTCGAAGGTGAAGAAGGTTCTGAGGCAATACTCAGTTAGTTCAATGACATTCTGAGCCATGAGTTGACCATCTACCTCATGGCAATTCTGACATAGGAGGTCGCGGATGGTTTCAACAGCAAGCGCCTGTGGTATGGATGTGAAAAGTAGCATAACATCGAATGAAACCATCCTTTCATCTGGCCCCACAGTGACCGTCTTTTTTTGTCAAGGCATTGTATAGCCGAGTGGGCTGTCGTTTGTGAGCTGACCGTGCGAAACTTTAACTTCTGGGATATCCAGTTCGCCAGCCCGTATGTAGGCGTGCTTCGGAGGGAGACGATTGGCCGTAAGGGAACGTGTGGCTTGTGTACTTTGGAGAGGCAGTAGGATTGCGCCATAGGGATGGGGCATGATTTCAAATTTGACGTGGTCGAAATTGTGGACCGAAGTGATGATCACACATCGAGGAAAATTAAAGAAGCCTGGATGTCGACCGACAGTTCATTAAACCGTCACATACATATACCGGTCCCCTATGTTGTTTTAAGAACCTCCTTATCCAGGGACAGGCACAGCATGAAACAACCGGGGCCATCAGTGAGCAACGTAACCAACGTGTTTATACCAGAAACAAATAGGGGCGCGACAGGAGAGAACGGAACGAACGCACATGAGGGCAAAAACAGCACAGGCAGCACGGTGACAAAAAGGGTGAACGAGGAGGCTAGACGAGACAACTACCCGAAACTTCAGGCTTATAATACACCTCTCCCGATGAACGCTCCCCTTTCTTTGGATTTACCACCTGGGAATCGAATTTTCAGCACTATTACTGCAGACCAGACATATATATTGGGAAGAGTTTTGGCAGAGACGAGGAAGACTGCGGTGGTCATTTCTGGTTTTTTGTCGTTGTCAGCCAACTCCATCCAAACGCAGGTTTAACGGGACTTCAGTCTTGAACACGTGTTCTATGTGCACCGAGGGCTATTAATGTCGAAGCTCTGCTAGATTTTGATGGGGAATGGTAACTTATTTTGGAACTGTGCTCATCCGTCGGGTTACGAGCCGTGTGCGTCCCGTTTTACCAGTGATTGATGTTAAAGATATTGTAGCCGTTCGAGTCTCCGGTTCAGGCAGTACGTGAAGGTTTAGACGGATTATAGGGAAGCGTCGGGCCACTGTGGGAGGGTTGGGAATCAGTACTGAGATCCTTTTTGTACAATTGAAAAAAACGGGGTTTCCTATTCTCTGAAGTCGCTCTTGAATTTGCAAGAGTCTCAACTAAAAAGATTTTCCAACTCTGGAATATATGTAACTGAAAGGATAATCTACGCTGACTATAGTGGACATGCTCAATGCATTTTAAGGGCAGATCCACCCCAATACAACAACAAACTCTCGGCTGTTGCGGGCCTCGAGAAAGCTCAGCTGTAATAAGATTAAATACTGCTTGAATTCAGAGCTATGGAAACGGTTGTCAGAAAGGATGACAACTCACAGAAAGATTGAATAAATTTTCAATTGGCACTAAGGTACAGGACCTGACGCGAGGTAGAACTCTGAGTTGACTGATGTGGCTGAATGTCATTAATTTCAGAATACAGTAGACCGCAGTGTCTGCTGTGGATTTCAAAGTGGGGTCCTTCGCAAGTTGGGTGTACTACTGAGCGGTTTGTTTGAGTAGTTAGCGACAGCACCCAGCGTGGCGTGAACTCATCTAGTAAAGGAAGGGGTGTCCAGTGTGGGGGTGACAAGTAGTTATATACGCTTCATGCAGTTGGTCTTTAACTGACACTCAACTTTTATCTATGGCGCCACGAAGCCTGGCTCTAGTTAGCGGCCAAAATCCGGTAACCACATCGATTCAAGTGTGTCCTCACATGCGGTAATTCCGTCTCAAATCATATACTCCCTCTCCCTACATAAAAGTTCAGGGTGGCACGCACTCCCGTAACCGATCCAGGTTAATCTGAATCGTCTTACAGCTAAAAAAACTCGGGCGACATAGTGGAATTCAAGAGCCGCCTAGGAGGCCTCAGCAACCCTACTGCGGAGTAGCGCTAAGTACCGCCCCGCTCCCGTTCGAAGGGACTAAAAGTGCCCCGAAACAATACGGAGAGATCACATTGTCTAGCAGACGGCCGTAGTTCGTGGACGTAAAAGATGCGACCAAAACCAAATACGGAACCCCACCTCTTGTTCCCATCCCCTCCCACTCTATAGGCTGCTAAAACGACGCTGTTCGCCATAGCTGTTTAGAATGTTCGATTTCTTTCAGACAATCCACCAAGCCAATGACCCTAAAGGAGGACGGCGTTTAGTCTTCGAGACGGCACGCTACAGAATGGGCAAGACAGTTCTTAGCTAGGCCCGATTGTCCAAACAGAGTCAGCTGGAGGAGGGCACCTAAAGGCAAAACAGCGCGACGCTGGCGTCGCCGTTGCCATCCGACGATGACTGCCCTGTCTGCCGCGGGGCGTGAGGGTCCGCCTCATGATCCTACGTATGCCCCTTCGCGAAACCAAGCGTGGCACCAATGTCAGCGCCTATGTCTTCCTCTCAATGACAAGCCCCGAGAACAAACTTTACGGGGACCAGCAGGCCCTCCTGGCGTATGTGCCGAAGGCGGAAAAACTGTTTGTCCTTGACGACTTCAACGCCGGCATTGGGACAAACCACGTCGCCTGGTGTAGAGTGTTGGACTTCTACGGTCATGATACTAGACTCTTCCCTCTGCGAACCTGTGCAGAACACAACCTCCTGCCGACAAACAACTTCCGACGCAGGAGAAGGCAACATGGATAGACATTCGATCGCGGCGCTGGCATTTTCTGGACTACGTTCTTGTTCAGAGGCGAGGTGAACAGGAAGTACTAGTGACAAAGGCAATTTGTGACGCCGATGGCCGAACGGACTACCATTTCGTCATTTCCAAAATGTGACTGCACGTCCAGCCGGGCAGGCGAACACAAGCGATCACGAAATAGGTTTAATATGGTTCTGTTGAATGTGTTTGATTTCAGTTATCAAATAGCTTACCGCCTGGAAGAAATACAGGTCCTGAAAGACAACGCCGTTATGGAGACGGAATAGTGTGAACTACGAAGGATCATGCACTCAGCTGCCCTGGAAGTCTTTAGT